AGGTGTGCGCCAACCAAGCCTGGCTGAGTGCTGGGATTTTTAAAGGAGTGAACCACCAAGCCTGGCAATGAAAAGATTTGAATTCTGTGATAAAACTTTTTCAAGGTGTGGGGATTACAAAGTAGCATTACAAAAGTTACATTCCTATGACCATTCTTTTGATAGAAAGGATATGAATTCTTTGTAATTATTGCCCTCAGGTGTGATAATGGTACTGTGGTTTTGTAGGAAAATGTTCTTAGAATGTGAGTATGTAGCAGTGAAGGGTTAAAAATTCTGTACCTAACTCATGTGATTCAGCAAAAATAATTATTTTATTATTACTATACACTCATTCAAAGAGATATACAAGGCGATTCTAGCAAAATGTTGTCAGTGAAAGCCTGGTATGATGACTCGGGCCTATAATCCCAGCACTTGGGAGGTGGAGACAGCAGGTTCAGGGCCAACCCTGGCTACATAGCTAGCTGTTTCTGGCCAGCCTTTACTACAGGAAACTTGGTCTCAAAAAGAAAAAGAAAGTTATCGGTGAATCTAACTAAAGAGTAAATAAATTGACCACTATTATGTCAATAATGCAACATTTTGAGAGTTTTTAATTTTTTAAAGGCTAAGGAAAATGTCATTATGTGTTAAATTTCTTGAGTCTGATATTCAGACTTTTATGATTATATAGGAAAATATGCTTGCTTTCAGGATATCCAAGTTGGAGTACTTTGGGGTGAAATTTCAAGTGGTTTATGAAAAAAAGTATATAAATTTTTAATGTTTTAAGTATATATACCTATACATATGAAATGGTTATTCTATGCCAGGCATGGTGACTCTGAGTGTGGCAGCACATGCCTGTAAACCGAGCATTTGAGGCAGAATGATCATCAGTTTGAGGCCAACTTGGGCTACCTAGCAGTACCAGCAGGCCAAGATGGACTACACAGAAAAACCCCACCTCAAAAAAGAAAGCAAATATAACAAAAAGTAGACACCTATTGCTTTCTACTAGTCTTTTCTTTGGGTTTGAAATTTTTTCTAAAATGAAAACTGGTGAGACTATTTCCCATGTATATAAATAAAATGTTAATATTAAGGATATGAAATAAATGTTAATTTTTTATCATTTTTAGTTATGTGTGTGATATGTGCATGTGAGTGCCGGTGCCCTGAGGGAAAAGTCGTCGGAGCTTCTGCCGAAGTTACAGGTGGTGGTTGTAAGCCTTTGCAAGAGCAGTAGTTGCTTTTAACCACGGAACCATCTCTTCTGTACCATGAAAAAATAACTATCACCTTAAAAAAATCTCACCTTGTTACATCCTCATTAGTTTCCAATAACTTCTAAGATGTAAACAAAGTGGAGTGTGGCGGTGCACACCTTTAATCCTAGCACTCAGTAGGCAAAAGCAGGAAGATCCCTGTGAGATTGAGGCCAGCCTGGGATGGTCTACATAGTAAGTAGGGGCCAACTGGGGCTACAGGGAGACCCTGTCTCAAATTAAAAAAATATATATAGCATGATCTAGCCCCTACCTCTTCCCACTACTACCCACTGGCCATCATCTCTGCCCCTAGGCCTCCCACAATATGTAACTATACCCTGTCTACTCCAGGAGGAACTGCACCCCCAAAGCTTTCTCTTCCTGGCTTCTTCAAATGAGACTGAAGAAGGATGGAGAAACAGGAAAAAACAAGAGGACATGGAAAGGAGCTCTTCACCCCAGAGTCTGGTTGAAATTTCTCACCAGCTGAGAGTGAAGAATTCCAGTACAATTAACAGCATTTGCTATGAAGGTTGCCAACATGGAGGCTACATTCCTTCTCTGTAGAGATATTTCAGATCAAAATGTTAGACTAGCAGTGAGCTATACTTAGGGCCTAAACTAAGCATATATAGCCTTACACTTTCCCTGATGTAAAGCTGCAACTTTATGGGAATCTCATAAACAAGACTGTAAGCCTTGTTTGCAGTAAAAACATATTTTAGCCAGGTGTGGTGGCACACGCCTTTAATCCCAGCACTTGGGAGGCAGAGGCAGGTGGATCTCTGTATCTCTGTGAGTTAAGACCAGCCTGGTCTACATAGTGAGTTCTAGACCAGCTGGGGCTGTAGAGAGACCCTGTCTCAAAAAGACCAAAAAAAAAAAAAACCATGTCTTAACTCCCATGTGCGAACCTTCTGAACCTAGGGTTTACTTTTTCGCTTGGCCTCCAGAACCACAATCTCATTTAAGTTACTTTGAGATGTAGATTCAGAATCCACCAAATCATTTTTGTGGCTAAAGATATTTAAGCCTGGCTCTCTTGAGAAGTTTACAATCCACTTGTTGGTATGTACTATCCTTTCCCTAAGCACCTCTTTATTAATCTCAATGCTTAAATCTACATTAAAATCTCTTTCTAATAAACCCCACCTCTGGGCCAGCAAGATGGCTCAGCGGATAAAAGCACCATCAAGCCTGAGAACCTGAGTTCAATCTACAGAACCTACATGGAGGAAGGAGAGAACAGAAAAAATTATTTGAACAGCTCTAAAAGACCATTCACCCAGGAGTTGGAAAGCTTGTTTATTCCCTTCTCATGCATGAGGTCCTGGAATGCTATGGAGGACCAAACAAAGGTCTCAGATCCCCTGGAACTGCAGTTATAGACAGTGGTTAGCCACTGTGTGGTGCGGGGATTCAAACCAGGGTCCTCTGCAAGAGCAGCCAGTGCTCTTAACCGCTGAGACATCTCTCCAGCCCCTCAGTAAGCTTTCTTTTTTTTCAGTCTTTTTGAGAGAGGGTCTCTCTGTAGCCACAGCTGTCCTAGAACTCGCTATGTAGACCAGGCTGGCCTCGAACTCACAGAGATCTGCTTGCCTCTGCCCCCAGAGTGCTAAGATTAAAGGCATGGACCACCATGCCTGGCTTCTCAATAAGCATTTTTACATCATCATTTTATGGCTGAAATCTGGTCCCTGTGTTTCTTTTCATGATGGGCCATGTTATCTCAAGAAAATTCCTTTGTGAGCTCACTTAGTCATCATAGCTTGCTTACACAGTAGATATCCCAGGCATGGGTCAGGAATCTGTTAACCTTTTGATCTATAACTAGCCCAGGCTACTTAGGCTCGGAATCAGTCAAACCTTCATTTCAGCTTACAAAACATATCACTGGCAGGAGTTTAGCTATCTGATACATTTGAGGTACACTTTTCTTGGACTGATTGGACCTGTACCTCATTAAACCATTTGGTGAACTTCCCATTCTCTTGGTTTCACTGTATCAACAGACATAATGAGTGGAAAGCATCACAGAGCTTCAAGGCATTACAGAGTAACAAAACATCCCAGACACTGAAAACAGCACAGCAATAAAAGGCATTCCAGGGTTACATTTCACTGTATTTACCTAGTAAGTGAAACGAAAGGAAACTTTTAAATGGCCTAAGTTTACAAAGACATTATATAAGAATAGCTATAAAGATAGAACTTTTCCTAACCAGACATGGTGGCGCATGCCTTTAATCCCAGCACCTGGGAGGCAGAGGCAGGCAGATCTCTGTGAGTTCAAGGCCAGCCTGGTCTACATAGTGAGTTCCAAGCCAGCTGGGGCTACAGGGAGACCTTGTCTCAAAAAGAACAAACAAAAAAGAATGTAAGTTTTCTTATCATCATAAATCGTTCCCTAACACCCCCCACAAAAAAATATCTAGCTAGCTAGCTCTTACTGACTTGTCCTGAAATTTTTTTCTGCAGCAAAGTCAAGAATTCAACTTCACCTGAATAGGGGTCCCTGACAAGAATTCCTTAGGCTGCCGCTGGTGGTAGCATCAAGCAGCCTATCCCACTGCCACTGACAAGGCTACCACACCCTGAGTAGATGAACTAAGAAAGAGACTGTCAGGCTGGGCATGGTGGTGCATGCCTTTAATCTCAACACAGGCAGGCAAATCTTTGTGAGGTCAAGGCCAGCCTGGTCTACATAGCAAGTTCCAGGCCAGCTAGGACTACAGAAGACCCAGTCTCAAAAAAAACAAAAACAAAACAAAGAGGGGAAGGTTTCATGCTGTTTCTTCTAGACTGTTTCTTCCCATCTAAGTTTCTTCTTGAAAAATTTCTTTGGTTTCCAAGCCTGAGTGAGTGTTTAATTTCACCATAGCACTTAGCACACCAGTAATGCAATTGCTGCCTCCTTGTTTTCTCCAGTGTTCAGTAAACTCTGGGAGAGCAGGGCCTGCCCTTATTTTCCATCATTGGTCTGTGTTCAATAAATAGAATAGGTTTTCGTTTTTCTTGGTTGTAAAATCAAGCAGTTGAGAATAGGGGTAGTGACATATGCATGTAATCCCTCTGTAGCAGAGGCAAGAGAATCATGAGTTTAAAGTCATTCTCAGCTAATTACAGAGATGGAGGCCAGCCTGGCCTACAGGAGATCTTGTTCTTAATTAATCAACCAATTGATTCAAAAGGTGGTCTAGCTGGGCATGGCGGTGCATGGCTTTAATCCCAGCACTCTATCTAAAAAAAGACACTGAAAAATAAATAAATAAATAAATAAATAAAAAATAAATAAATCAGTTCAAGGCAGGTGACACACACCTTTAATCCCAGTACTCTATCTCAAAAAGACCATAAATTTCTATGAGTTTGAGGCCAGCCTGGTCTACCTAGTGAGTTCCAAGTCAGCTGGGGCTAAATATCTAGGGGCAACAAAACAGAGAACCAATCACAACACCAACTTTGCAGGCAATCCTTTTATCTTTTTGTCTTTTTTTTTTTTCTTATTTTTGAAACAGGGTTTGCCTATAGCTCCAGCTGGCCTGGAACTCGTTATTGTAAACCAAGATCTCACAAACATGAGTCTGCGTCTGCCTCTGCCTCCCGAGTGCGGGGATTAAAGACGTGTGTTACCACGCCTGGCAATCCCCTTTTTAAAATTGCTCTAGTATGGAACCACTCAAGACCTCAAGAGTTGGGAGGAGCAGAGACTACAGTTCCCATGAAACCTCTGTACATCACGTGGCGCCTGCCGAGTTCTTTTAGCTCCCCACCTACCTAAGCAGAACTTGGTTTCCTAGCGTGCTTCCGGACGCCAGAATTGTGTCCTCCGTGTTCTTCCGGAGCCGGAGCAGCGGTATCCAGGCTGTGCAGCAGGTAGAAAGGTACTATCTGGGGTCAGAGGGAGACACTCGGCGACTGAATCGAAAGGACCCAGTTTTTGCAACTAATAGCCATCCTTTCAAATGCCCTTAGTAACCGACGCGTCTGGCGCGTCTGCAGCTTCCAACATTGTCCCTGTCTCCCTACTGCCTGCAAGTAGAAGCCAAAGCAACACGCCACGCAGGGCCGAGAAGCATTGTCTGAGGTCTCCCTATCCCTAGGGTGCAGGGACCCTGGGCTGGGGGTGGAACTGGACTACTGCAGGTGGGGACCCGATCCTCACCCCTGCTCTGCGTCTGCATCTCTGCTTTAGCGGATGCTGAGTGGACAGCCGGCCCGGCGCCTGGTCGCTATGGCCACCCGCATCTGTGTGTCACGGGGCAGCGCGGGATCTGCGTCCTGCGGACCTGTGGAGGCTGCTATTCGTGCGAAGCTGGAGCAAGCCCTGAGCCCCGAAGTCCTGGAGCTGCGCAACGAGAGCGGCGGCCACGCGGTCCCACCAGGCAGCGAGACGCATTTCCGTGTGGCAGTGGTCAGCTCTCGTTTCGAGGGACTGAGCCCCCTGCAACGGCACCGACTGGTCCACGCCGCGCTGTCGGAGGAGCTGGCCGGACCGGTACACGCGCTGGCCATCCAGGCGCGGACTCCCGCCCAGTGGAGGGAGAACTCACAATTGGACGCTAGTCCTTCCTGCCTGGGTGGAAGCAAGAAAACTCGAGGGACCCCCTGATACCCAGTGGGGAGGGGGGCAACGATCCGAATGAGCTGAGTGAGAATAAACTACTAATACCACTACCTCAATACCTTGATTTGTAAGAGCGAGGACCCCCGGGTCCCCCATTGTTAGCACATGCCAGTCAGAGGTAGTAACTCCAGGTCAAAGCCAAGCTAGCCTAGGGGGAGACCAAACCAGCCGCTCCTGCCTGGACTAGTTCGGAAGGGCTGCCACCTGTTCCATGTTAAATTGTGACCTAGGCCCTGCACCAATTCTGGTGAATTGGAAACAGCCCTGAACATTAAAAGAGAAGTTGCATTGAAGGTGCGTTGCTGCTTTTAATACTGCGGAAGTGCTTCTATGGGTATTGGTTTCTGCGCGTGATGGAGGGGAGCGCACATGTCCAGGCGCGAGTGTGGAGGTCAGGATTTGGGGGAATCTCTCCTTCCACTATTAAGTGGGTTTTTAAAGAAACCTCCAGCAATGTTTATATAATGGCGGGGGGGGGGGGGGGGGGGGGGGCGGGGACGACATGCCTTTAATCCCAGCACTCTGGAGGTAGAGGCAAGCCTTCGAGGCCAGCCTGGTCTACATAGTGAATTTCTGGCTAGCCCCACTACAGGGAGACCCTGTCTTAAAAAGACCAAAAATAAATAAATAATATATGATTATATAATTAGTGTGCCAATAATCTCGTGGAAATTATCAGAGGAAAAGGTGGCTTTAGCTCGGTGGCAGAGCACTTGACTAGCATGAAGCCTTGTGTACATATATGTGTATAATCTTTTTTTTTTTTTTTTTTTTTTTTTTTTTTTTTTACCCTGTAGTCCCAGCTGACCTGAACTCATTATGTAGACCAGGCTGGCCTTGAACTCAGAATGATCTGCCTGCCTCTGCTTCCCAAGTGCTGGGACTAAAGGCTTGCGCCACCACGCCCCGCCGTAGGTGTATAATCTTAAATTTAGTTTCTGACTAAAGAATTTCTAGACTGCATCATTTTGGGCAGTAGGGTCATTGAAGAATTTTGAGTATGGTCATGTCAAACAGCATTTTGAGCAGATTGATCTGGCAGTGCTGTGTAAGTGGGTTAGCATGGGTGATGGGAGACACCAAAACCAGTCAATATTGAATGCAGAACTCTTAAAGTTACTTGTAGGGACAGGAAGGAAGGAGTTTTTCTTCGAGTTACAATCAAATCAGAAAGTGGCAGGACTTGATGGCACAGGCTATAATCACAGATATTTGGGAGGCTGGGGCAGGACACATAAGTTTAAGGCTTACCTGGGCTACAGAGTGAATTTAAGGCCAGCCTGAGACTCTCCAAAAATAAAAAGGGAGCTTGGGGACAAAGCTGTGTAGTAGAGTGCTTGCCTAGCCTGGAGGAAGTCCTAGTCAGAAAACTGGTCTTCATAGGAAGTTCGAGGTCAGCTGGAGCTACTGGGAGACCCAGTCTCAAAAAAGAAAAAAAGAATACAGTGTATTTGTTTGTTTGTTTGAAATAGGGTTTCATGGAGCCCAGGCTAGTCTCCACCTTACTATGTAGCTAAGGAGGACCTTCAATTTATCTTCCTGCTTCCACCTCACAAATGCTAGGATTATAGGTTTGTGCTCTGTTTTAGGTTTTGTTTGTTTGCTTGCTTTGAGTTAGGGTATCATTAGGTAGCCCACACTAGCCTTGAGCTTAGATCTGCCTCTGCTTCCTGGGACTAAAGGTGTGCACCACCACACTCAGCTTTTTACTCTAAATTGTGTGTGTGTCAATATATAAATATGTGTATATGACTGCAGTTACCCTCAGAAACCAGAGACAAAGGATCCCTTGGAGCTGCAGTTACCAAACTCAGGTCTCCTGGGAAAGCATTACTCATCAGCCCAGAATCTTTATTTCTTTTGGGGGGTCAGGGGGAGGTTGTTGTTTCTTTTGTTTTTGAGATTGGGTGTCCCCGTAGCCCCAGCTGGCCTGGAACTTGCTATGTAGACCAGGCTGGCCTCTGTCTCACAGAGATCCACCTGCCTCTGCCTCCACCTCCAGAGTTCTGGGATTAAAGGCCATCACTCCTGGAGGAATTTCTTAAAGGCATACCAGAAGGTTTGAAGGAAAGGCAGTTCTGTTCTAGAAACATTCTAGGTTTTTAATTGGGAGTCTTAGGGGCTGGAAAGATGGGTCAGTGGTTAAGAGCACTGACTGTTCTTGACTCAGGTTCAATTCCCAGCACCCTCTTCTGACCTCCAAGGCACTGCATGACATGGGTGCACTCACTTACATGCAGGCAATACACTCATACACATAAAATAAAAATAATAAATAAAATTAAAAAATCAATTGGGAGACTTAGAGGATTCTCCATCTGTGAAAGTGGAGGCCAACCTGGGAACCAGATGGGATGTTCCATGTTACTCTGGTCTTAGAGTTGTTTTTCCATCACTCTTTCGTCCTCCCTGGACTGTCAGAATGAAGCTAAATATGAGTGGAGAGGGAAAGAAGCGGGTACAGCCACTTTAGATTTTAAGGATTTGCTCCCTTTTATTTTTCAGTGTTTTTCAGTTCGTTTTTCACATCAATGGAGTGGGGTTAGGGTTCCCCCAGGAGGACAAGGAGGTGGATGTATCTCCCCTGGGGCTGCAGGGGAGAAGGCTACGTCCAGCAAGTGAAGGGTGAGAGAGGGGGTACACACTCATAAACTGGGCACTGGAGGAGAAGGCAGTCCTTTGAGCACAGACACCAAAGAGTTAAACAGTCACCACCAGGTTCAGTGTTACAAAATCGGGAATGGCTTCAGGGTGAGGGCACCAGACGCAGCATTGAGTAGGGTGAATTTGGATTTTCTTTTTTGTGGTTATTTTAACTTCCTTTTAACTTTTTAACATTTTACAAACAGCTAAAAACTACAACACATCACAGCTACAGTGGGGGTGGGAAGAGGGTACCAAAGAAAGCCACACAGAGAAGGGTGGGACAGGGGCAGCTGAACCTACAGAGGCTGTTCTGTGGAAGGGCGAGATGGGGAAACTGAGGCTTCTGGTCCCTGCATTAGGGGTCCCTCACTCACTGCCCAACCTCTCTTTTAGAGGCACTGCCAGGAGGACCCCTGCTTCCTGCCCCGCTCCAGCTTCTTGTGCTTTTGGATCTGCTGGTTTGACCATGTGCCTGGCTACTTTCCTTTTCCCCTGCCCGTGAGAGGACAGGTCAGGTGGGAGGGAGCTTTGCTTTTCCTGGCTGGGCTGTGGCTAGGGGATAGAGCCTCTCTAGAAGAGGAAGAAGGGAGTCAGGCCTTGTCAGGTGCCCTCAGGTCCCCCCAGATTTCGTGACTCTTATCCCAGCTGGCCCAGGTTTCTTCCCTCCTAGGCCCAACACAGATACAAGATTTGGGAAGGTACTATGGGAGGCAGGGTTGTGTGTGTATTCACTGAAACTACTGCCCTTGGCTTATATTAAGACAGTATAGTGGTACCCCCGCCCCATGGCGCACACACACATAAGTGTACATACATATCCACACACAGTCCTGCTGAGCTGTTTGGAACTTAATATATAAATAAATAAGAATCAGAAAGCTAATTTCATAACATTCAGGCTTTGTATTTCTAGCCTGAATGGAGGGGAAAGTGGAGGTCAGAGGGCTGCAGATTATTGCTATTCCCCCAGTGTCCTTGGGAGGTTAGAGGGCCTTCCAACTCTAGTTCTTTTGGTCCAAGGTCTACTACACCCAGCCCCAGCCCCCAATATAACTGCATATCCATGGTTCACCAGGGCCTAGGCAGAAGGAATGAAAGGGAAGGCAGGAAGTCTGTTCTGGAACCCCTGAAACAGGAGAACAAGGGTTCCTCACTAACACTGGGGGAGAGAAGGATGGGGCTCAGCCTTCTCTTGTGCAAAGTTAAGGGTGGTAGGAGGTGGGGAGTGTCTCATCCCAAAACTGGGATGAAGGGTCCTTCCCTGTAGTCCCTGCCCATCAGGGTCACACACATGCACACAGGCATACACAGCTAAGACACCAAACACAGGGGAGTGGGGACTGAGGCTCTGAGGACCAGGATAGCAGGGCAGGGAAGGAAAGAGAAAATGGAGTTAATTGTTCTCACAGTGTGCCTGCCATCCCCAAAGCTCCAGAGACACCCTCACTGCAGCACCTGCCCCCGGGTCTCAGGCAACTTCAGGGCCAGAGAGCTGCCAAGGGCAAGGGCAGCTGAGGCAAAGAGGATAGGGGCAGCCTTGGTGATTCCCACAAAGGATGTGAAGATGCTGATCCCCAGCACTGCAGCCAGCTTACACAGAGCATTCAGGAAGCCAAAGGCCGTGGTTCTGCTCAGGAGTCCCCAGTGCCACAGCATGTAGAAAGCAGGGCCCAGAAGAGAGAATAGACGGGTAGGGAAGTGAAAGAGGGAAAAATGGTGGAAAGGAGAAGGAAGGATGGCGAGACCAGAAGGGAGGGTGGGCATACAGATAAATTGAGAGACAAGGGAGAAAGGAGACCAAAACTTGAAGTTAACAGCTATGACTGCAAGGAAAGGATGCAAACCGCCCCCAAACTTTGGGAACATGTGCCCTCCAGAATACTGTTCAACAGTATTCTTCCCATCTCATCCCCACCCCACTTCACTCCATTTCTCCCCTGCTCTGTAGTTTCTAAACCTCCTCCCCATCCCCCACCACACTCCAAATTACCTCTTGTCTGAAGGGTAGAGTTCAACAGTCAAAACGTCCAATGCATTCCAGGATGCAATGCTGACCCCCCCAAAAAGGCAGAGCAGAGCAATCATGGCTGACTCACTATTCCCAAAAGATAGGAAGAAGCAGGAGACACAGGACATCACACTGGAGCCAGCTGGAACCAGAAGAGAAAGCAATGAAACCCACCCATGACCCGACTTGCCAGGTAGCCAGCTAACTTTGAGACAGCCCCAGATGACTCTTCTCCAATGTAGCCAAAAGGAAGGCTCTTGTTCTCAAACTCCTTTGGCTGTTTATTAATATCAGTAACAGTCATTTATTCAGTATTAACTATGAACAAGCAACTTAATGCTTTATACCAATCTAAAACATTAAAATAACCCTATGAGGCAGGTACTATTGTTACTCCGATAAGTGTGATAGGTGACAGCCAAGCTCACTGAGAGTAATGCGCCTGAGGTAGGTGGTAAGCCCAGATTCAAACCTCTAACCTCAAAGCTTGTAACCTACCTGTTTGTTATTTTGTCTACCTCTTTTATCCCCTAGAGAAACTTCTATGCTAGGCACACACCATTCTGCAGCAACCCTTAAATAAAGTATGAGAGGAAGAAGCTCTGACCAATCTCTTCCACAGCTTGCAGTGAGATGCTTATTGACAGCCTGCCCCAGCCCCAGGGTGCCTCAGTTCTCCAGCCACCATCCAGCCCTCACCCCCCCCCCTTACCGAGCATTCTCAGCCTGCCAATCTTGTCCATGAGCAGAGCAGACACAATATTCCCAGGAAGCACAGCTAGTGTCCCCAAGAAGCTGACAAAGTACACCATGTAGGCCCCTTCGCCTGTCCCTGTCACATCTGGCGGGCAGTCTTCCTTATTGTGCAGGAATGTGCTGTTCACCAGGTGGCTGTTCACAAACTTGTACTCAAACAGGTCTAGGGGTAAAAGTTAAGACACACAGCAAACATGAGAGGGAAGTGGCTACTGCTTATGGCTTAGAGATCAACTGCATTTGTAGAGGTTAGCAGTGGGAGGCTCTCAACATTATCCAAGGCACTCATTGCAAAGCATCACCTAACATCACCATGGAAACTAGGAATCTTTATAGCAGAAAATGACCATGGTTCTAAGGCTTTCATAGTCTTGCTTCTTGCTCACTCTTTTGTTCACCTGATCTAGATAAAGAGGAACAATGCTATTATTGGTCTAGGAACTGCTTCTGAGAAAAATCTTTAAAATTTTTTAAAGGTCCTACCATTTTTTCTCCCTGCAAGGTGGGAAAAGCTTCCAAAATGCTCCCTTTAGAGGTGTAACGCCTCAGTCTAGCTTGTAGAACTAGTATTCCATGGGCATCTAGTTTAAGGATCACTGTTAAAGAAGTAGATTTGTTTTTTTATTTTTCTTAGTTTTAAAAAAAGATTGTGGTGTGTGTGCACGCATGTGCATGTGTGCCTTGTTCATGCAGGTGCCTGCAGAGGCCAGAAAAGGGTGCTGGATCCCCTGGATGCTGAGAACCAATCTGGGGTCCTTTGAAAAATCTACAAGTGCTCTTTTTTTTAATTTTGTTTTTTTTTATTTTATGTGTATGAGTGTATCACCTGCATGAATGTAAGTGCACCCATGTCATGCAATGCCCATGGAGGCCAGAAGAGGGTGTCAGATCCCTTGGAACTGGAGTTACAGATGTTTGTTAGCCTCCATGTGGATGACAGTAATCGAACCCAGGTCCTTTGCAAGTGCAGCCAGTGCTCTTAACTGCTGAGCCATCCCTCCAACTGCCACCCCCCTTTGAAATTATTTTATTTTATTTATTTATTTATTTATTTATTTTTGGAATGTGCTGACTGTTACCTGTGGGGCCAGGAGTCTCTGAAATTATTTTATTTTTATTTTATGTGTATGAGTGCTTTTGTCTACATGTATGTAAGGGCACCACATGCATGCAGTGCCCCTGGAGGTCAGTAGAGGGTGTCAGATTCTCTGGAACTGAAGTTATGAACAGTTGTTAGCAGCCATGTGGGTGCTAGGAACCAAACCCAGGTCCTCTGCAAGAGCAGCCAGTGCTCTTAACTGCTGAGCCATCTCTCCAGCCCCTCCAGCCCCTTTTAAAAGATTTTGGAGACAGGGTCTCATATAGCCTTGCTAGGCCTCAAACACACTATGTAGTGAACCTGAACTCCTGATCCTCCTGCCTCTACCTCCAGAGCGCTGGAATTACAGGCATGCACCACCATAATTAGCTTGGATTTCTCTCTCTCTCTCTCTCTCTCTCTCTCTCTCTCTCTCTCTCTCTCTATCTATCTTTTTTCTTTTTTTCCTTCTTTATTTTTTGATGAATTAGGGGTTGAACCTAGGATGTCACACAAGATAAGCAAGTGCTCTACCACTGAGCTATATCCTCAGTCCTTAAAAAAATTTTTTTTTTCTTTTTAAATTTTGAGACAGGATCTTACTAAGTTACTCAGGCCAGCCTTGAACTCACCCTATAGTCCAGGCTAGCTGTGAACTTTTGATCTTCCTGCCTCAGCCTCCTGAGTAGAGGGATTACAGGCCTGCTACCAGGCTGAACTAAGAAATGGCTTGATGCAATGATTCCCAATTTTTCCTTGTCAAATATCCCTTTTTATTGTCTTTCTTCTTCCCAAGGGTGCAGTTTTATCCTCTTCTTTTCTTTTGAAAAAACTTGGAGTTTTCATCAGACAGTCATTCACAGGAAAATATCCAATGTTCATTATACTTCCCAGATTACTGGTGGTAGCCAGTAAGCTATCTGGGGCTCCTGAGGACTCGGCTTGAGAACTGTTAAGCCAGGGAACAAGGAAGGCTCCTTCTCCCTTCATCAACATCCACTCAGCCCTTCAGCTGACACCAGTAGTCACCCCACCTTACCAGTGTTATAAAACACGGTGCTGATGAAGGTGCAGTTGTGGAAGAATGTGTTGGTGGATGTAATATCCTCAAAATAACACTCCTCAAACAGGGAATCCTCAAAGGACACTGATTTCAGACGCAGCCCGATGAACCTACAAGACCAGGAGGAGGAGACATGCTGCCCTCAGCCTCACCCCTCCTCAGACTCACCACCCTTATAAAGCACTGAGAAGAAAACCACAAGGATTGCCCCAAACCACCTTGCCTTGAACTGACAGATGCATCAAAAGAGACAAGGTGCAGAAGATGCAGGGGAAGAGTGAAGGTTAAAGGTTAAAGGGCCCTCACATACTTGTCATTGAAGTACTGCCCCCCTCGGTGGATCTGATTCTCCAGGGTGAAGTTAAAAGTCACGTGCTCTACACGCTCTCCTGTGAACACTTTGGTGCGGGCTGCATAGTCCACAGCCTGGAGATGGCGGATCATGTCAGGAAACCAGACAGTCAGACCATAGTAGCTGGAGAGTCAAGGGCAGTGGAATCAGACAGTGCCGATGAGAAAGCAGAACCAGACAGTCCAGAGGGAGGAAGAAGCAGTCAGCCTGGGTCAGGGGTTTGTTCACCTCCAGCCTCATTTCACCCTTCTCCCTCCCCAGTTACTATGGTTCTAGGGATTTTAAGGTCTTCTATGCCACCCACAATACTCTCTTTCTTCCCAGACACTTTCTCTTCCTTCTGCCTAAAATACTGCCAACTCCCATTCACCCTCAGGATTTAGAGCCCTGCCCACCAAATCCCAAGTATTTCCATAGCACAATACCCTTACCCACTATGGCACCGTCACACTAACTCTATAGCTAGTTTCACCTATTCCTGACTAAAATGTTAACTCTCTAAGGACTGGGACATATCTACTTCATCTCAGTGCATTTAAATACTGGTCATCCTGAATTACAAGTTTGATGAATGAATAAATGAAGTAGAGAACTTGCATGAAGCATCAAAGAGGATGTAAACACCTTCCCTTATTATTTGCCCCTTCATTCCCAATAGCATCAGCTCTTCTTTCAGTCCACAAACAACCACAGCTACCACTTAGCCCCCTCACCTGAATGACATGGTGAACCACACACCCATCATCATCAGAGTGATACGTCGATATTCTGGACTGAAACAGGAGAGGAAATTCCCCCAAACCTACAAGGGACAGAGCAAAGGCAGAAGCCAGCTATAGTAACTTCAAGCACATATTGACCTCCGTTTTTCTGACTTTCTGCCTCCCTTCAGTTCACCTTCACCTCTCACACAGGCTCAATGACCCCCCGTTCCACCTCTCCCAATCCCCCCTCTCCACCATTCCATCTCCCATTACCTGCCCCCCCAGGCTCAAAGCCCGGACCCCCCAGCGCTGGTACCAGGTCCCTGTGTCTGACTGGATCTCAATCAATTCATCCTCCTGATGAATCGTTTTAATGTGGGTTACCTGGGGGCAAGAAAAGGGTTGAGCTGTCACATACTATTACCCAATGAACTCTTAGTACCTCAGTTTCCCTGCAGTAGCAAAATGAAAAGCAGGGGGAAGCATGATTCCCTGAGGATATCATTGAGGTACAGTGTGTTCTGAGATGTCTAGGGAAATGGGAGACATCTAGAAAGGGTCTAAGTGGGGGCTTGGAGGGTTGAGTGGGGAGCATTGCGGCTTACTGAGAAGACTCGCTCAGGATGACCCTTGGCTCTCATGTTGGTGTCATGGACCTGCTTCAGCACCATCCAGGCCTCATCATGCTTCCCATTCTAGAAACACAGACATAATCCCAATATCCAGGTCAGGCCTCCCACACCCAGAGTTACAGAACCCCTCTGTTCAATCTGGCTTCTGGAGTCCAAAGACATAAAAAGCCTCCCACCTCCAACCCTAATCTATGGGTATACATCAGCCCAAGCTGAGTACAGCAAGACATAATCAGACTTGGGCAGAAGTGGAGGTTGGGCATTTCTAGGGAACAAATATAAGCACAGACCCTGGAGATGCCCCAGAACAAGAGCAAGAGAAAACTCAGGACAAGGCAAATGATGGTCAAGTGTGTGGTCAGAGAAAGAGCCACATCCTAATGTGCTGGCTCCAGGTGTAGCTAGAGGAGGAACAGTAAAGAGGACCCCAACTTGAGCCAAGGTCTCTGCCTACAGAATCTTAAGCTGCCCACAGCCAAGCAGTCTTTCTGGTTTCTCCACCACAAACCCCCCTGGAGATACATTCCAAGATAAAATGAAATAAAGTCCCCCAGAGTATGGGCCCATGAAGAAGGAAGCAGTCACAGAAGCACACCAACCCCCCACAATGAACATCTTAAGCCCCTGCTGCCCTCCCCACCCCACCCAAACAGCCTGATCACCTCCAGGAAGAAACGAGGGCTCTCCGGCTGCGTGGTCAGAGCCCCGATGGCAAACACAGAAGGAAAGGCACACACGAGGACAAAGACCCTCCAGCTGTGGAACTGGTAAGCAGAGCCCATCTGAAAACTCCATCCTAGTGGAGAGAGTCACAGCATCAGCAGAAGCTGCAGACTCCCAGCACAGGGAACACAGGAGAGCCGGGAGGAGGGAGAGTCTGGGGTGACTCCAGGGGCTACTCACCGTAGTGGGGGATGATGGCCCAGGCCATAGCGGCTGCATACACACCACCAATCATCCAAAACATACAGAGCCAGCTCAAATGTTCCCCACGTTTCTCCTGGGCCAGAAACTCGGAGAAATAGGAGAAGACAATGGGGATGGAGCCTCCAATCCTGGACATTTCAAGAATTCAACATTAGAAAACAGACATCTTCCTGATCCCCTGCTCCAGTGCTCTGGATTCTCAAACCCCTTTCATCTTGGAGCCCTTTTAGAAAGACTCTGCCTCACATAATGCCCTACAAGCTCCTCTCCTTCAAGCACCCAGCCTTGGAATTATGGGAAACAGACAATTAGGCCTCTGTGTAGAGGAAGGAATAGGATTAAATCTTGTAGGTGACTAAGAGTGGGGAGGGAGGCAAGATCATTGCAGAAAAGGGAAACCCAGCCTATCATGGTGAGACGTGCCTGTAATTCCAGCACTAGGGAGGTAGAGGCAGGAAGATCATTGCCAATTAGAGGCCAGCAAGGGCTATATTACAAGATCCCGTCTCCAAAAACTTAACCGAAAAAAAGAGAGAAAGAAAAAAAAGACAAAAGAAAAATATCCAGAGAAAAAAGATGGGCAGAGTGGGATGTGAAGGCAGGTGTTGGAGCAGACAGAAAAGTGCTTGGAGACAACAAGCAAGGTCCTGGTAGTGCCTGGGAAAGCATAGGTGTGGGTAGGGTAAGACTTTGGATTCTGCCGATGAGGATGTCAGCATGGTTTCTTGTCAAATTCAGGAAATATGTATACTCTGAGAGGGGATAACTATGGCCCATGAAAGCCCAGAGGTAAGGCTAAGTGTACTGGGCCTCTTTGTGGGGACAGGCTTAGAAATAAACTGGAAGTGGGGTAGAGGACTCAAGACTGGACCATACATAGAATGGTCTGGTATTCTGGATGCCAGTCTTATTCACTTGATTCACACATGTGCCTGGTTATACTGCACATAGTGTATATTATAGCAGTGACCAAGGCACAGCCTTGATTTCAAGGGTTTAGAATATGGACACTCACCCAACCCCGGAAAGAAGGCGGCAGAAGAGGAAGGTGCCATAACCCTGGACGAAAGATGAGAAGAAGGCGAAGACACTGTTGACTGAGAGCGAGATGAGCAGACACTGTCTCCGACCCAGTCGATCAGCCAGGCCTCCCCACAGGAAGGCTCCTACCATCATGCCCAGGTAGACAATGAGGCCTGTGAGGAGGGGAAAACCAGGGGCAGGAGGGGTATGAGCAGAACAGTGTAGGAGCTGAAACTCCTGTAGCAAAATGAATCAAGGACATGAAGAACTTTCAGAAACTTAGTCTACCCAGAGAAAAGAGTGAGAGAGGGCAAAAATGTGTGAGCAAAGATGAATGGGCAGCTCTGCAGGTCAAAGGTTCAAGGGCAGGAAGGCAGGTATTTAAGAAAAATTTTCTCCCTCTCTCTCCCCTCCCTCTCTCTTTCCTTTCTTTTTTTTCCTTCCCTCCTCCTCTCTCATACATTATACCTATCCCTAATTCACCTAGGAGACTGGATCTGCCTAGTTTACTAGATCACCCCAGAGCCTCTCTACCCTCCCAGCTTCAATGAGCTCAAAGCAGCAGGGACGTATTTTAATCCTTGGTAAAGGGGCTTAAATACTAAGTCTGTCCTTTATTCTTCAGTAACAGTACTTCTGGCCCTAAAATTCCCATCTACTCTAGTCCAGGCATGGTGGCGCTTGCCTTTAACCTCAGCATTCAGAGGCAGAAGCAGGCAGATCACTGTGGGTTCAAGGCCAGCCTGGTCTACATAGGCCAGCTGGGGCAACAGAAAGACCAAAAACAAAACAAAACAAACCTGTCTCAAAAAGACCAAAAACAAAACAAAACAAACAAACAAATAACAACAACAAAAAAACCCATCTACTCCAAACTGCATTTTACCAGATCCCCAAACTAACAAGTCCCAAGACAAGAGACCTACCCCATGGCACAGCAAACCCTAGATTCTTTCTTGGTGAGCCTATAAGATTTCATTTTCTAGCTCCCTGTCAGGAAATGTTATCAGAGACCACACACAGACACAGACACAGACAGACAGACAGACAGACAGACACACACACACACACACACACACACATCTGAGGCATCCACTTTTTAAGCAGACCCCTCCCACACAGACCAAAGCAGTTCAAATTTGACCTCTTGTTCTGGAGTCAGGGAAAAGCAACCCACTAACAGTATGGAAGGCTTCAAAGGCACATTGAACAGTGGGCCAACCCACCATGGCCATTTCCTGCAGAATTCAGTAAACTACCCAGGCAGCCACTAGCCACTGTCCCAATCCAACTACCCCCTCCACACACCCACACAATTTCATTAACCCACTCTCCAGAAGAGGGTATGTGTGAGGCAACAATGTGCAGAGCATCAGCGGGCCCCCTGGGGACATCTGGAAGACAGAGTCCTAGGGAACTGAGGGGGGAAGGAGAGGGGAGGAGCAGTTCTTAGCAGCCAGGTGTTCTCAGTGTTCTTACCCAGCATGCCTTTGTTGGAGTCAGACAGGCACATGTCTTTCTCGGCACTGGGCAGCACAAAGCCCACCACAAAGACCTCAACACCATCCGCCATCAGCGCCAGACCGAGCACAAAATAGAGTGTCCACTGGAAGCGGCCATGGCCACACTCCCGCAGGATGGTTTCATACTGCTGCGCCAGTTCTTCCCGCTCTTTCCGCCGCTGTGCCTCTCCCCGACCCCCAGGGGGACCCTCCCCATCACTCAAGCCCCCTCTCACTCCAGCCAGGGGTGCTCCATCTGCCATCCGTTCGCCTTTGCCCCCAGACTCTGCCCGGGGGATTCCCTGATATTCCCCCTCATAGATCTCGTCATCCTCGTCGTGGCCCTCCGTGGCATCACTAGAGGCGCCACCTTCCTCCTCGTCCTGGGCCCCTTCTCCACGGTAATAGCCATCAGCAGGGGCAGGGAAGTCATCATCGTCCTCCTCCTCTTCAAAGCGGGAATAGGACCTGCGGGAATATTCATCCTGGACTCTGTCCAGGCCCTTCACCACCTTCTTGGCTGCATGCTTCTTCACTTCCTTGGCAATGTCTTTGGCCCCACGGATGAAAGCTGCCCGGTCTCGGAAGCCTTCTTCCATGATGGGGCTTGGGGATGCTTAGCTAGATCTGCCTCACTCCCGGCTGCTTTTTCAGCCTTTTGCTCAATGACTTGAGGAGTTGAGAAGACCCCTCCCCAGTTACATAGATGAAATGTGTCCAGTGTCTTTGCACTCAGTATAGAGGAACTAGGACCTGGCTAGAATGGAAAGGGATGGGAAAGAGCGATGGTCTGCACCCAATTCAATAGGGTGAGTAGGGGAGGGAGGGAGGGAAAAGGGGGATGGGATAGGAAGGGGGAGCCAGGTTGGTGAGGCTAAGCTGAGGAGCCAGGATATTTCAGGAAGGGCTGCCTACTTCTCTTTTGGGAGCTTCTGGAGACCTAGAAAAAGTAAGAGAGAAAAGGGAAGTTGTGAGTCCTAGGACAGTGAAGGAGGCCAGTATGGAACCCCTCTCAATCCAGAGCTACACCTGGACCATGTGGTATGGATGACATCCTTGATTCAGGCCACCAGCCAGTGAAGAGGGGCGATTATCTGGGCCAACTATGGATCACTGAATGCAACTCCCTTTACTTTGACCCTGGAGAGTGGGCCCATGGACTTTGTTCTAGAATCATAGCCACCTACTTTCTACCCTCCCCTAACCAATTCGGATGCAAGAGTCAAGTTCAGATGTGATATGAAGAAAATTCAGAAACTAGGATAAATAATTATCTGAGGTAGTCTGGTCTAGAGTTCTTACTGGGAAAGAGTTTTGAGAGGATGTGTGGAGGGAAGACCAGCCCTCCAACCTGGTGCCCTCAGTCTGCTGATGGCATCTGAAGGTGGGGCCCACACAATTTGTCCCTCAGCTTCTTTGTTTATAGGCTTCCTGAGGAGGAACTTCTCCCAACATAGCCTAGTGGATAAAACCCAGCTTCCAGAATCAGATAGGTTTGACAGCTAAGTGAGCACAGGTGTGTTTCTGAATATCCAAGCCTTAGTTTCTTCTTATTTAAAAAGGGAGCCATAAGGGTTAAGTGAAATAGTGCATATATGTTTACCATAGTGCCTTGCACAGAAGAACTGACGAAAATATTAGCTCTACTGTTGTGGTGATACTAATATAGTGAAGATGCCCTACACTTCCTCACAAGGTCCCACAACAAAATCTATCTCTGTGTCCTTTAGGATGAGCAGCAGAAAGGGACACTGTCAAGGAGAATGCTGGTTGCATGCAAAGCACATGACAGTTGATGGCCCCAACTCTCTACTTGCTAACTGCTCGTAGGTAGGTTACCTACCTTCCCTAAGCTTAGGGTCCTTATATTTAACATGTGGATACTTAAACTGGGAGAATCTTTTTCAGAGAGTTGTGGAAGAAGCCAGAAGCAGCAAGAGCCAAGCAAGGCTTCATACCTAACTGATGCCCAGGATCCTCCCAAGAATCCTCTGTCTGGGTTTAAACTAATTCCAACAGCTGGCCTAAATTATCTCTCTCCAGATAAACAAAAGAACCCACGAAGGGAGATTTGGAACCTGAGTAGAAGGGACAAGAAGGAAGATCACAAGCTAAGAAAAAGGGGCAGCTAGCTGCTGTCACCTTCCTTCAGAATGTAGTGTATGGGCCCCCTTTACCTGTGGGATGGGAATGGAAATGACCAATCCAGATCATACATTTCTAATGTGAGAGTCTGAGGTCTATAGTTGTACCTCATTCTTCCAGGGCCTCCCTTCCTAATCCCCCTTAATCCCTCTCCCTCTCCAGGAGTCAATGAAAAGGAGTCCACAAATACCGCATTGCGTAGGCAGCTGGTAGAGAATGAAGGGGGCCTAGGGCCTCCCCACCCTCAAAAAAAAAAAAGATACCCTCCAAAGGGAGACATGAGAAAGCCTCCTTCATAAGCAACAGAGGGTGAAAGCCTAGATTCAGAGCAAGATCATTTCCCTAAAATACTCCTCTATCAGAGCAAGATCATTTCCCTAAAATACTCCTCTACTCTCACGCATTCAGAACCTTGACCAATCTCTCTCTCCCTCTCTCTCATACACACACGCACACACACACACACACACACACAGAGTCTAGTCCTAGTAGAAAAGGGTAAGTAAAGCTCTGTGCTTCAAAGAGAAGCTCTGGCAAGCACAGCCCTCAGGAAAGCTGGAAGCAGTGGACCACAGTGACCAGAAGCAGTGACCCCTATGTCACCTTCTTTTCTTCATGATTCAGGGACCAACCACCCTTCATGAAAGATGGGGAACTGTGGAATCCCCTCATGCAAGACAATGTGTATTCCTGACCTTTCTTTCCCAACATGATCTCTCTTTGAAGCTAAAGGAAGCATTTGGACCCACCAGGAACCATTCCTCATGTCTGTTGACACTGTTTTATCCCTGAGAGGTGTGAGTTGGGAAGGAAAGGCTCCCACAGCCTCAGCAGTAAATGATGGCTCACCAGCCAGCTCCCCCAGGGCCAAGAAGCCTAGGAGGGAGAGAAAGAAGACAAATTCTTTGAGCTGGTGAGGAAGTGGTGCTATTTTTAGCCCCCAAAGCAGCACAGGATGGCTGAGCCTGTAAAAGAGATAACACTTGGAGAGGTGGAGGTTAAAGGAGACAAGAATGGGGTTTACCGAGGCCTTCAAGGCTGACTGGCTTCACCTGACGGGAGGAAACGTGCCTAGATTTTCTGCAGAAGGTGGAAAGGGCGAGTGGACCTGTGAACAAACGCTTTCTTTCAGGACAACTGCTCAGGCGTGGATGAGAAAAGGGTCCAGACCACTCCCCTAATCAAAGCCCTGATTTGGGGGCCAGCTAGATTTTCAGCTCATTTTAGTCCAGGTGACAAGGTCATTAAGAAGCAATCACTTATCAAAAGGTTCTCGTAGGGAAGGCGGGGGACAGAGGAGGTAGGGTGTGGGAGGTGCCAGAGCACCCCCTCGGCATCACAGCTTAATGACTTGACCTGCATCTCCCCCAACAAGGATGAGCCTCCCCTCCTCACATCCTACCCCTGGTTCAGAAGATGGGAGCATCCACAGTTTTGAGAGGAAAAAAAAAGGTGTCAGCTGAGAATGCACACGGAGGAATGCTCACGAAGAGGCCCGGAAGCAGGGAGAAATGCAGTGACTTAAGAGACCACCCCTACCAGGATTTGCGGAAAGCCCCCACCCTCACCTCTCCTCAGCTCTGGTATAAGGGATGAACACTGCTGCTCCAAGTGCCCTCCACCCTTGGTCCTGCTGCTGAACAAGTGCCCACCATCACTCCACACCTCTCCCCCGCCTCTCTCGAGTAATTGCCTCCAGCCCCCAGCCCCAACACCTGCTTGCTTCCCATCTCTCTCCAGTGTTTCGTTCCTCATCCCTTTCCGTCCTTCACCGGCCCTGTTCTGCCCCCCAGCCTACCCAAGTCCAAACAGAAGAGAGGCAGTATCCATTTTCTGGCCCCAGCCAAGGTCATTTATCATTCATTGGCGGGGGGGACACACGTCAAGGTGAGGAGGTAACTGGAGTTTGGGGGAGCCCCATTTTACTAAATAACCCCTCACCAAATGTACCTCCAAAGACTGTAATGAGGACTTGGGCTAAAGGAGAAAAAAAAAAATCCCATCCTCCCCTTTATACATACATACATGCATACATACATACATGTGTGTGTGTGTGTGTGTATTCTCAAAGCAACCGAAATAAAATGGCCCATTCCCCAAATCACCACCACCCATCCACCCTCACCCCAAGAACAGGGATAGTCACCCTCCTCATAAGCAAAGCATCCGAGAATAAAATGGCTGCAAAGGCAGGCAAGGATGCTTCGCCAGGGGCGGATGGAAATGGGAAACGAAGGGTCTCACCTGAGATGGGTTCCCCAAGTCAGGGAGTCCCGGGTGAGGGCGGGGGTCCGCGGGTATGAGGTGGTAGCGGCGACTGCTCCTGGTACCAGGAGAAGCGGCACTGCAGACCTCCTCCTCCTC